TTCTCACTCTTTTTCGTTCGTGATCATATAAATAGAAAATATTTTTAAAACACAATAAAGCAAAATAAATAAATTCGTTTCAAAATTGCAAAAAATTTTCTAATTTTACGTGGCATCTTGAACGTGCCACCTATTTGCAAGGTGAGGAAATTTTAATAAGATTTGAATAGACCAATGAGTAAAGAATCACAGGAGAGAGCATATCGGTGGTGGGGGTAGATTTATCGCGAACGGTAGTACGTCATCGCAGCCATCTTGAGCGTCCATTTTTTTCGACGTTTTTCAGGGCCGTGTACAGCCACTTGTTGCCTTACTTATTCTAGTCTGCACTTATTTTGCGCACAATCATTGATTCTAAATAAGTGAGAGAAAGAGCCGGTATTAGGCTAAAAAAATATTATTAATAAGTTGTAATTGTAAGATCATGTTGCATTCCCAGGCCTTTGAGGTACTTCCAGTATCTCTGTCATGCTCCAATTCGTCCCTGAGCGGCCATCTTGAGCGTCCACTTATATATAGTCACTTCCGTCCGCTTGCTTAGCACCAAATGCTCTCTCCTGTGATTCTTTACTCATTGGAATAGACATCCTGTTAATTAAACAATAACAAAGGTATAATGTTTATTTTATATGATAACAGACGAACAGATAAAAAACGTGCTTATTTAATATAATATTTACGTTTCTTATTAGTAATATTTATAACATCTGTTGCTAATGTTTCTTTCTTGTCTTCTTTCTGTCTGTTCTTCTCTTTTTTTCTTTCTCTCCCTTTGTCTCCCCCCTCCTCCTCTTTCCTTCTCTTTCCTTATTTCTCTCTTTTTTTCCTTTCTTCGTTTTTTTCTCTCAATTTCTTACATTAACTTTTTATAAAATATAATTTAATTAATGTTTTTATTCAACTGTACTCTATTTTTTATCAGTTTTAAGAAATTATCTTTTTGATTTCAAGTCAATCATTATCATCTTTGTTAATTCAATGTTAATATAATAGCTTTCAATTATTATTTAAATTTAAGAATTTTTTAGGTCGCTGAATGCGAATCCAATGTCAAAATTCAAAATGGTGGACTCAAATGTTTAGTTTGCAATCTAAATATTTTTTATGTTTTGACCATCCGCCATATTGAGTCCATCATTTTGAATTTGACAATTTTGACATTGAATTCGTATTCAGCGATCTAAAAAACTCTTAAGTTTAAATAAATATAATTGAAAGCTATTTGGTAAATCGTCAATGACCTGAGTCACAGCTAACTTCTGCAATACACGCCATATTTAACCATGGATATCTTATTAATCATAACCGACACCATTCCTTTCGAGGGTCAAAAGCCCTAACAACATACTTTATTTTGATTGCAATAAAACTTCTCCAGCATGTCACACATTGTAGCTATAATATGACAAAGTTTGTGAAAATAGTCCTTTTTGCAACTTTAATTGCAAATTTCTCAAAATTCTGACGTGATCGAACATCTTCGGAACCGAATTCGTGTTCAGCGTCCAAAAACCTATAAGAAACGGCTAGTCCCATTCCAGTGTTTTTTTTTTTTTTTTTTTTTTTTTTTTTTTTAATAATTTTTTTTTTTGTAAAGACGAATTTTTTTTTATTAATTAATAAATAAATTTAAAGAATCATATTGTAAACATTGTGTAATACTCGCATTAATGTCATCATATAGTTGCGACACGATTATTGCACAAACATGTGCCATAGCAAATAATTTTTTCTTTAACTAATTGCTATTGCATTTTTTGAATATATATATATATAGAAACCATATATTTAGTAAAATATAGTTCACAATTACTAACATTGAATAAAAAAACTATGATAAAAAGATTAATAAAAAGTTGGAAAACATGTTAAGTTCAAGATACTTAAAAATAAGAATGATAGGGATAGGACGAAGAATAAAGAGCTCAAGATACTTAAGTTAAGGATAAAGATGTTTTAAAAATATAGTTTTAACTGTATAATTTACAAAAATTTTTTTAAAAGCTTTTATTAATTTCGAAATTATTTGAATTGTCTTTGTGGGCAGACAAGACTCCCATTACCACCAGATGATCACCGATGGAATTTTCTTCCTAAGGATAAGGATCCTAAGCTGAATGACAAATCGAGTAGTATTAGTTTGGATTCGGAAGGAGAGGAAGCATCGGCGAAAACTGCATCTGTTGTAGAACCACCACCTGGAAGATGGTATTATGTATCAGATTCTCGGTAAGTTCTTGGTGTTATATTAAAGAAAGATGCCAAATTGTGTGTTTATCGCGTACATCAAATCTGAACCATAATATGTAGTTTAAAAGAGTATCAATAAGTATTTTTTCAAAAGAAGCTACTAATATAAGAATGATAGGTTTCTGAGAACTTAGAATTCTGAAACCAATATAATTTGCACGAATAAAAAAAAAAGATTTTGAAATTAACAAAAATATCCTATGATAGTCATCACTTTTGCGAGTTAATTTTACTGTTGAAATAATTGCCTTGCTGAAATATTTTATGCGCTTTGTGAACTACAGCACATGATCATACTTTATTGCATATTCATATTATATATATTATCTACTATAGATTGTATATACTATCTATTGTTCATAACCTTTTCCCCTTAACCATCCCTTAAACTCCGTGTTTGATTCTGTGGAATTAACTTTCTTCCTTTCTATCTCCTCTCTTAATCTATTTGCCAACCTGACTACGTTTACACATCACCCCTAATCAGGTTTAATAACATCCGTAATTCTAAGGTTGGCTAATCACAATCATTCAATTCTTCAGGGGAATAGCTGTGATTGGTCAGAACTATGGGCGTTATTAAATCCGATTAAGGGTATCGTGTAACAGTAGTCACTGACATATACACCAGTCGGAGTCATCCCCTTTAGTTACCCCTCCCTCTCCTCCCCTCTTCCATATTCCTTCACCTTCACTCTCTCACTGTTCTTTACTATAGACACAATCACTCCCTTACTGCACTGTTCTATCCAGCTTTCTCCCCTCCATTCTATTACATAATCTCCTCACTCATTGTTCCATTCGCATACCTTCATATTTCCACACCTTCGCCGAAATTTGATCGACTTCCAATATCTTGTTATCCCCTAGTTTCTTCAATACTATTTCTTCTCTAATACATTCCTTACTCAAGTTATCTCCTCTCCATTCTTATCTCTCTGATTCCCTTCCCAACTCCCCTCACCATCTTCCTATCCATCTCTTTCCCAGCAATTCCCTAACAAATCCGTCCCATTAATTTATTTGGATGCTCTCATTCACTTTCTCTTTTCCTCTTCTTATCCACCATCTTTTAAACATGTCTTTTCATTTTAATTTCTCGCAACTTCTCCCATTTCTCGTTCTTCTCCCTTCTTTTTTACTCCAATATCTTCCCTTCACCTCTCTTTATGATCGTCCATCTCCCTCTCCCTCTCCCTTTCTCTATCTCTTTAACTTTCTCTTCACTTTATTTTTTTCCTCCTTACATTCTTTATCCCACCAGCTTCTTCTTTTCATTTCCTCCTTAGAATTGTAGTCCTTCTTCAAAATTCTTCTCACTCGTCCTTTTATTTCCCCCCACATTTCGTCGAACCTTCTATCATTCACCTCAATCTCCCCTAATGCTTTTCTGAACTTTTCCCTTTCCTCTACGGACCATACTTACTTTTTTATTTTCCTTCCTTCTTATTTTTATCGCATTTTCCCCTCCTCACGCCTTAATCCATACTATTAACGAATGGTGATTCGAGTTGATATTGTCTCCATTCTTCCTACCTGCTTCTTCACCTCATTCCTCAATACATAATTTATAACCGCCCCTTTTCCCCATATATGTCTAATCTTTTCCCTCTCCCTCCATACATCCATTAAATATTATCTACCCTATTTCTTCTATCCATTTTACTAGCACTTTTCTCTCCGCATTTATCTTTTTATTTTTCGATCTTCTATCTCTCCCTCTCTTCGCGCCTCCCCCCTCCCCCTCCTATATCTTCTGTAATAAATTTTTCTGGATTTTTATTGAAGTTTTAATGAAATCACAATGAAAAGGAGTCAATTGATTGATATTTCAGTCCTATTTTAATAGGATTTCACACATCTAATTTTCTGTAAAATATTTCTATCAGGGACAGTATCGATATAAGAGTAAGACACATTGAAGATGACGGCTGCCATGAAATATATTCTTATGTAAAGTTAATTTTGAAGTTGAACATTTTATATGAACGATATAAATCTCCGAATCCATAGAAACCTATAACTCTTAATTTTTTTAAAGAAAAAATTGTTTATTAATATTTTTGTATTATAGAATAAATATTATTTAATAATAAGGAGTTTGGTAAATATACCGAAAAGAAGACCCATCACTGATGACCTTGACATATATTATCATAGTTATGTCCTTAAGTAAAGCCAGCAGCACACGATGCTATTTTATTTGCTGGATGCGATTTTTCGTGCTGGATAGCATGCATGATTTGCTGCTTGCTGCCCTGCGCTTTACATTGCATAAAGCTAAGCTGGGCGCGCTGCAGGTTTTCACTTAATACGGAGCGAGGTGCAAAGCTAGCTTAGCGGATGGAACAGACGATAATTTGTGCGCTGCTCCTCAAAAAAAATTTTTGAAAAATGGACGCTATCCGCAGGAAAAGTTTAGGAGCACTTTTTCTTTTGCTAATTTTAGAAGTGGAAAGAAACCGTCATGAAAAGACGACAAAGAAGACTTTGGATGAAAACATGGCACACAATGATAACCAAAAAAAACAACAAGGTCATGTCAATTTTGTCACATGATCTAGTCGCTATTTCTCATTGGCTGTTTACAATGCCTAGCAACAAAATACGCAGAGAAAATAGCACTCGTTCTATCAACGAAAACCGTCAGCGCTACACGCAGCGCTACTCGCAGCAAGCAACTTTTCTCGCTGCGTAGCCTGCACGGTGGCTGGCAGAGCTCCTCGCAAGTAAACTTGCACGAAAAATTGCATCATGGGAAACTAGCTTTACTGGCTTGGCTTCAGACGATGCGAGCTTTCGTGCTGGTTCGTAATGACTTTTGTACTGGCATTTTATAAAATAGCTTCTTTAGACCATTGTTTCTTTTCGTTTTTTTTTGCAGCTTGTGGTAGATCTCATATGACGTCTACCACAAACTGCAATTGTGCTGAGTTGTGCTAGCCTAGCATAACTTAAGCCCAGTGCCCACGGAGCGTGATTTGAAGCTGTTTTTGTTGCGTGGAGCCATGCGTGCTGCTAAATTCGTTCTGTAGCGAGAAATGTGACTCGCGGCGTGTTGCGTGGCGGGCTCGGCGGTTAGATTTTCCAAGATAGATTCAGTGCTATTTTCCAAGCGTGTTGCTCGGATTCTAGCGTAGTTCGTCCAATCAGACAGAGTCACGTGATGTGAGCCAGTTAATTTATGTCTGCCGGGCCGGAAACTTTCGTAAAAATGTCGCAGCTTGTGGCACAAATTGGCCAGTCAACGAAATGGACAAAGGAACAAATTTCGGTATTAATCAATGCATACAAAGAAGAAATGTGAAATATCTCGTTTCTTCTTTTGACGTCTACAATTAGTAAAAGACTCAGAGCTGCTAATTTATTTCTCCACGCAAGCTCCATCTTATCTTAAATCGGATATAAAGAAGTTTACGTCTATTTGTCCTGTCTGCTTGATCAGCTTTCTACCACGCACTTTCACGCATGCTTCCACGTACAGCACCCAGCTCCGTGTGATGCAAAACTGGCAGCGGGCCTAGCTTTACATCAAGCTTCGTTGCCTATTCGCGACCCAGCATGATTACTTACAAACAAACCAGCTTGAAATCACGCTTCGTGGACACTGGGCTTTAGATATGCAATATTATTCCTATCAGATAACGGATACAGATAAAAATGTTAGTTATGTGAGAGGCTAGTAAAAATTTTATTTCTTAAATTAATTTAATTTTATTTCTTTAAGTTATTGAGCTGCAATTCGCGGTACAATACAGCACAGTTAATAAAAATACGAGATTCAAAAAGTGCGGGGCTAACTTCACACAGGTCAGTTAAGTAATATCAGTGTTTAAAAACGTAATTTGCCGATATGTCTGTAGAAAACGATACATACATGGGCGGGGGAAGGGCAAAGCCCCTTGTTATGATATAACAAAAGGTCGATAGATATGTGAAACAAGAATTTTATTCAACATTTAATGAATTTAACGGATATATTGAACTCATTATATTGAAAAACATATCAATGCGTTCATCATAGTTGTACATTCTTTTGAACATAAATTTAACAAAATAATTTGTGAAGTGGTAATCACCGTATACCAGGGTGAGGTATGTTTGCTCGCATTTCTCTCCACAATCTTTCTATATTTTGTTTGTGGAGCCCAGTTACAGAATCCACAAAATTAACCACATAATTCACTGTTTTGTGCATGTAATTATTTAATGTCATAAAACATCGTATACACGCCATTTATCCGTATGAATAATAGATCCAACTACGATGTATTGTTGAATGATAGGCAGCAGTGTTTCGGAACGTCGATTTGGCTATTACGATGTTTGCTGCGAGAAATTATTCCGATGACTGACTGAGTAGTTGTGCGAAGCAGTTAGTAACAGTAGTAATACCGTTGATACATACCAATTTAAAATGTTTATAAAATTTTATAAAAGAAATCAAAACAGAAACCTATGTGAAACCGTATAATGATAAATCTCATTTCGCATTGAAAACAGGAAATGGGGTGAGGATGGATCTTGGTTCGCGTGGATAATTGGAAATCCATGTGGAACTGCATTATGATCCCATAGGAAATGTGTGGACGAGGGAGGGGCAGAGTCCCTGTGCCCCCATCCCCAAAAAAACTAATTCAAATTTATTTCTAATTTAAAATTAAGATTAATTATAAGATATGTAGGATTAGATTTGGATTAGGTTATTTTTTTTAGGATAGAGGCGCAGGGGGAGGAGACCCTTCTCCGCTCATGCATTTCCTGTGGGATCATTATACATATAATGTCATATGGGTTTTTAGTTTTATAAAGGACGAACAATTAGGGCCTATTCAGACGGATTTGCATAATCGCATAAACATATACATAAGGAAATTGATTTATGCATTTATACTTATAGATCAATCAATTTCCATATGGATATGTTTATGCGATTATGCAAATCCGTCTGGATAGGCCCTTATACATTCCATTTATAAAACTTCTTTCGTTAATAAATTTTTATATATAATAAACAATGAGCGATGGCCACATACTTCTATATATTATGGCGACAACTAAATCTCTTTTGACTTTACTCAGGGACATAACCATGATAACATATATGTCAAGGTCAAAATCATCGGTAATGAATCTTTTTTTCGGCATTTACCAGGAGTTTTGTTGATGTTGTTGACAGGAGTTTTGTTTTGTTGACATTAGGATTCAGAATCTTGTAAGACTTCGGCATTTTGTTTCAGAAAAATCATAATCTATTATTAAAATTAATATTACTGTAAAATCAACTTCAAAGATCTTTTTTGTTTAGAGAAATAGATTTAATTTTCGAAAACACAAACCTTGTATTTGCAAAGAATCAATAATGTTTTATTCATTTTAATTTTAATAGGCAAATATCAGGAAATCACGGGATTTTAGAAAAAAATGTTTCGTACAAAAGTTTTATGTATAAGATATAAAATAACTCGAAAAATACTTAATGAAAAAATACTTTATTATAATGTTTTGAAAAGCTCTCAAGGTAAGCTACAAGAATATGCAATGAAAAATGGGGGTTTCCATTTAAGAAATTGAAGGTGACTCTCACATAATCTTCAAATGACTATCCAAGGTCAAATCAATGACATTATCTTATGTCCTCCTCAAAGTCATGACTTTTGTACGAAATATTTTTTTCTAAAATCTCGTAATTTCCAGATATTTGCCTGTTAAAATTGAAATGAATCACCCGGTATATCTCTCTATGAGAAAAATTAATAAAAATTTCTAAGTTTTTTAAGTTCTTTTAATTTGTTTTATATGATATGAATAATTACCCGCCTTTAATTATTATATAGGTAAAACTGCATAAAAGGTTACACTTCATCGATTTTATCGCCACTTAAATATGTTATAGGGGTGGTTTTTCTGAGTAATTCTCTGCAAAAAAGAAGTGATGAGGGACGGCATTACTTTAGAAAATATAACAAATTGAAATTTGACATTAAAGTTTGTATATGCTGTAATAATCTGTTATTTTTTGATTGAAAAAGGCTGTTTACGATATTTATGCGTGGGCGAGGGAGGGGTTCCGCCCTTCTCCCGCAACCCCGCTCTGAAAAAATTCTAACCTAACCCAAACTTATTTTCAGTTTTAATAATAAAGCTGGATTGGATTAGATTAGAATTTTTTTGGGATGGGGGTGCATGGGGAAGGGCAGAGCCTCTCCTCCGCCCGCATTCAATAAATAATATTTTTCTATATTATAAATAATATATTGAAACAAATTTAAGAAATTAGGCTCTCGAGTGAACTCACAAATTCTAATAATCGCGGGCTAGTAAGAGCCAGAACGCGGATGGCAGTGCGTCAGTTTCATAGAAAAATAAGTTTTCTATGAAACTGAATATGTGCACAGGGCACGAATATTGAAAGCTGTTAACCTAACGCGCTCGCGAACTGCGATAAATAAGTGAAACTGATTATTGACAAAATATCCATGACCAGCATGTATTTCGTAATTCTAATTTCAAAATATCTATTCCGTAAATGTAAAGAAAAACTTTTTTCCGTTTACTCTACAAGAAATACAACGTACATAAACTTCACTGTTCCTAATGTTACTTTATATACCTGAAAAAAGCATTAAAATTGTGACTTTAATTTGTTATATCTTCTAAACCAATGCCGTTCTCGACTTCTTTCTTGCGGAGAATTACTCAGAAGAACTTTCTCTACAACATATTTAAGTGGCGATAAAATCGGTGAGGTGTAACATTTTATGCAGTTTTACCATTACACCTTATATATAGTATAATTTTTCTTATTCTATGCTTATTATACTTATTTTCAAGTTTGGAAAATAACGCGTTACAAATAACGCTGTTATTGTTATAGTTCTTTTTTTCGGAAACTGTAACAATAACAATAACAGCGTTACAAATTTTGTCTGCAACGAAAAGAGTAATTTTGATTTTAGTTAAAATAACCTCGACATTTTTTCGATAACAAGAGTGACGAATTTAACAGTTACTTTTATCATTATTGTTCGAACTTACGCGACATGACTTTTATGCAAACAAATACACATATAGAACATTAAAATCTTTCAAAAATTAAAAAACAATCTTGATAAAATTTAATAACTTTAATGACTTTTATGATAACTTTTATTAAATCAGATCATGCATTTCTTATGAACTTTTGCAGATTAAAATTTTGACTCTTAATTAGCGTATCATGGATTTCAAAATTGTATAAAATTAAAGAGATGCAAAAAAGGCGATTTTGATTATATTTTCAAATCTATTAAAAGAAGAAACAAAGAAAACCTTCTTTTTATTTACTTATATTTACTTACCAAATTTAAATATCTTAAAAAAAAAACAGTTTTATGCAATGTTTTTGAAAAGTTTTTCTGATTATAAGATTTAAAACTATTATCAAAATAATTATACGCTTTATATCAATAACGATATCAATATCAAAGTTATATCGCTTTTGTTATATTTTAATATTAAAAATATAAATTTTTAACAGTAATGATGACTAATTACTTTTTAAAATCAATAACGAGTTATTTTTAAAAATCAGTAACAGGTACGATAACAAGTTATTTTTATAAAGTATTATAAAGTATTTTCCCAACATTGCTTATTTTATTATAATTTTTTTCGGTATTAATTCTCAGTTTTCTATCACAGGGTATCAGAAGTAGATGAAAATACAGTGTTACAAAGTCAAGCATATCTTTTATTCTACGAAAGGATTCTCTGATCCAATAGAACGAAGCAAGACAAACCTGAAAATCAAAGGAGTCGCATTTCTGGTTTTCAAGTAAAAAGAAAACGAACTTTTAATGAAAATCTGAATTCTACAATTTTTATATTATATTGCATGTTATTGAATATATGAGGTATGTAATTAATGCCTATAATTTTATTGATTGTATGTACATTGCAAGAAAAAGAACTGGAAACTATTAGAAATATTGAAAACTAAATTGTTTCTTACGACACTAGTGATAAATGTATTAATTACTCACAAAAAGCGTTTTTTTACTAACTTTTGTAAAAATTTAAATTAATTAATGGAAATTTGAAATTTTGGATTTTTTTAATTCCCAAATTTATATGAATTTTAATAACGCAAACCGGAATTATTTTGCAGCGTTATTCTTTTTCACCTTTTTTTTCTTCGTATTAAATTAATATATGATGTATAAGTTATGTTGTACAGATTTCGATCTCTTTTAATTTAAATTTATAAGAGCAATTTATAAAAATAAGAGAATAAGAAAATAAATCTTTTATATAATAAACTTTATAAAATAATTCCGATTTACGATATATTACTTTTTTATAATTCTGAGTTATAAAATGCATAAAATTTGAAATGTGTGTTTGAAACTTAGAATATTTAATAGGTATATATATACTATTCGGTTTCAAATATACAAGGTGTCTGATAATAATTGTTCTACCCGTATTGCGCAGATAGAGCGGGTTAAACCGAGCAGGAAAGTCCTTTACCATTTTGCGATTTTTGTAATAATTATTGAAAAATTAATTAAGAAAGATCGACCAATTCGCGCGAGTATAAGCGCACAGCGAGAAGAGACAACCCAAAAATAGGCGCGCGACAAAGTTTTGGGAGGTGTGCTCTACTTTTTCTTCTTTCTTGAATGGCACCTGCCCAGTGTCAATACGACTAGAATCTTGCGTATAATGTGATCAGAAGTGGCGTTAAATGAGGATGTTCTTTGGTACAGTTATGTTTACATAGACATAGTATGAAAAGATTTCAACACAGTGAACTTATCAGCAATTTGAAATCACATAATGGAGATGCGTGCTGAGACGGAGAGGTGAGCTCTGTTATAGGTTATAGGGATGGAGGGACAAAGGAAGGGAAAGGTACTGTATCATGGAGTAACCACGTAGCGCGGCGGGAGTTTTAAATATTCATATTACATACTTTGCAGAAGACGATAATTAGTCTGCATATTTTACTTAACGGATTTTTTAGAATATCAAAAAAGTTGCCAGTCTGAGGAACAGTCAAGTTCGCAATAGTGGATCTCAGATGTGACGATTCATTTCGCGTATTGGGGCAATGAAATACTATGTGATTGATGTTCTGAGAGGGATGTCTACACGGACAGAACTCATCATCGATTAAGTTTTTCCGGAACAAACTATGATTAAGATTATAATGATTAGCCTGTATATGGGAAATTGTAACAATAGTTTCTCTAGTAAGATTTGTTTGATAGTACCATGGTTTCCTGCTTTTTTGGTAGATTTTCTCAAAGAATGCAATACCTTTAAATCGTGCCCAATGCTCTATATATTTGTCGAAATCAAAATCTAATTTTTCTTTGGGAACAGAAAAGAATATGGAACCCTGAAATTATTAGCAATACCTTCTTTAATTGCTCATCTGGCCAGTTCATCGGTCTTTTTGTTGCCGTGAATCCTTTTAGATGACGGGATCCAGATAAATTGGATGTGAATTTTCTGCTCGCGCGCCGCCTCAAGTTTGGCCTTTATAAGCGGGATTAAATAGTTGCCTTTTTTTGGAATTGTTCCCTGGAGTGCTTTTAATACATTCATTGAGTCAGAGATAATAGTTACTTCAGAACCGTTAATATCAAATGTGAGCAAAATAGCATTATATATTGCCCAAGCTTCCGCGGAGAAAATAACCTCTATTAACCCAGATAGCCAAGTCTGTCGAAAGCAAATCATGCCAAGTGCCTGCTATCAACTATTGTTAGCAAAAAGGATACAAATTTGGTACAGAAGTTGTTATTACAGATTAAATCGACAGATTGGTGCCAAAAACAAAGCAGAGTATGCTCACAGAATCTGACCGCAGAAAACGAACACGATTTGCTAACATGACTTGACGTCAGATTGGTTGCAAAAACCGAGCAAGATCTGCGCGCGCGCAATCTGATGGCAGATTGATAACAAAAACCGAGCAGAATCTGCGCGCGTGCAATTTGACGGCAAATTAGTAGCAGAATTCGAGCAGGATCTGCTAACGTGACTTGACGTCAGATTGTCGGCAGAAACCGAGCAAGATCTGCGCGCGCGCAATCTGATGGCACGACCAGTTTCGGCAGGGATTGTAATTATTTCTATCAGTTTAATTTTTGATACAATTCCCATACAGGGGAATTCAGATATTAAACTGATTTTTGAAAAATCGGACAGATAAATCTCCGAATTTCAATTATTCGGACAGAAATTGTCTGAATAAATGAAAGTTATTATCTACTTAGATATAAAATAGAAATTAAATTCCATATATAACCGGAAATTCAGATATTGAACTTTTTTTTCAGATATTGAAGATATTGAAGATTTTTAGAAAATCAGACAGATAAATGTCCGATTTTCACTTATTCTCGTGTGTACAAGTAGCGATTGATTCTGCTCGTGGCGAAAGGTACTTCACTCTTGAGACTGAGAAGAGTCGGGGGTAGTTTTCGAAGGAACGGCGGTTGTACAAAATCTGAAACTTTAGATTTTGATGGTACAAATGATGGCGCGTCTAGTGTATAAGTAGCGATTGATTCTGCTGATTGGAAAGAGCACTTTACTCTTGAGCTTAATAGGGCTAAATTCAATTGGGGGTTGTTTTAAGAATAAGGGCTAAATATATTAAGTTTATTTGGGCGGTACAAATTAGTACAAATTCAGCCCTTTCGATTTCTGGTCTTATTTTTATCTTTTTGTTTTGTTTTAGTTTGGTCCTGCTAGCTTAATTTGATGGTAGCAGCGCCACGGTTTTTTTGGAAATGGCACGAGGTACAAAATTATTATTAGTGGTACAAATTAGTACAAAATGGGTACTAAATAATCTGATAGGTCCAGTTTGATTCTGCTGATTTGGTCCTGCTAGCTTAATAGAGGTGAGAAAATAAAGGCGTAGGGCGAGATTTTGTGCATCAACTGAATTCCTGGCTGAGGGGAGTAGCAGGCAGAGCTCACATATGCACCCCTTTTAATTTTAGACCCGTCCGTGTAAAAAACCACCGTCTCCGCTATGAATTTGCCAAAAGTCTGCATAACGGGATTTTGAGCATATTGTTTAGGGAATTGATCCAGACTATCTAGGAAGTCTTGTTGAGGGTAGATTATTTCGGGGAGAAGATAAGTGAAGTGGTATGAGTGTTGGTATTGAGGAAGGATAACGGATTTGTATATGGTCTGCTTATAGGGGGTTAATTGTGGAAAGAGGTTGATTGCCGGAAAATTGGATGAAAGATATTTATAGTTTCTAGGATTACCAATAGTGGCGTTCGAAAGTTCCTCAAAACAGTTTACAACTGGGTGATCAGTGATTAAAAGGGCTTTAATGAGAAATTTAGAAGTAAGATAACGGAATCAAAATGCAAGGGGAAGATCTTTGGCTTTCGCAAACATAATGTTTATTGGAGTAGAGATGCGATATCCAAGGCTCGCACCGCTTTGTTCTGAATAAGCTTTAATTTATGAAAACGAGTGATATTTTTAAGGCCAAATTGACAGGCATACTCAATAGAGCTTCTTATAGTAGCGAACGATACATCATAAACAGGAGATGTGGGTACGAGCTCCACCATATTCCGTATGGGGCTAAAATGATCTATATAATTTTCCTGGATTTATTAACAATGTATTTCATATGAGCGTTTCCAGTAAGTTTAGGGTTTAATAGTACACCTAAAAACTTGACTGTTTGGATTGGTTTAATGATAGAACGCTGAGGGTAATGTGATCTGTAGAAGAACAAATATTACGGTATGAGAATATCATCATCTGCGTTTTTTGTGAAGAAATATCAAGTCCTTTAAACTGTAAAAACAAATCAATGTTAGAAAGAGAGAGTTCCACCGAATTACATGCTTTCTCGACGTTTGACTATGTTGAATAGGTAACTATATCGTCAGCGAATTGAAGTTTCTTGGTACGTTGATGCAAAGCAGAGGAAATTTTTTTAAGATATAAATTGAACAGAGTATGGCTAAGCACCGAACCTTGTGGTGTTCCTTTGCAAGATAGAAGAGGATCGGAGAGCTGTCCCTGGACTACAAATTATACCGTCCTTGATGAAATCAAATTTTCGATTAATTTTATGATTTCGGGCGGCAATTTAAGCTCTCACAAATCATTAATCAAGAGATGTGGAAGGACATTGTCGAATACCGCCTTAATATCTATGAATACCGCGATCGTGACGGTCACGCAAAAAGACCGAATAAATTTTAGCAGTAAGAATTGATAGATTATCCTGGCAGGATCTATACTTTCTGAAATCGTATTGGAATTCTGGCAGGACATCATTCGATTCAATGTACCAATACAAATGTTAAGAATGAGTTTCTCCATTTTAGTATACAAGAGATAAATGCAATAAGACGAACACCTCCTCCATGTGGTGTGGGAATAAGATATACCAATGAATGGTACCATTCCGTCGGGAACTTGCCCTGCATGAACAGATTATTAATAATTCTAAGGAGGACTTTTAACTCGTACGGAAGGACTTGCAGAGATCTATAATTAATTCTATCAAGACCCGGGCTAGAAGATAGTTTAGCCGAGTCTATTACTGTTTCAAATTCTTTATAGACGAAGAAAGAGTCCATCCAAGAATGTGGGCCATTATAGGATATCTCCTCCTCCAAATCGGCAGTACTTTGAAGAGAGCAAACTAATGGGCAGATTCGGTTGATCGTGTCCATTATAACTGAATTGTCCCCGGCATGATTACCGATTTTATTTGCCGGTTCACAGGAAAAAATGAGTCGTCGGTTGCGAAATTTCTTAAGCATTCTCCATATTTCCGAAGTGGGGGTGCGTGCATTTAAACTAGAGCAGTATGTTTTCCAGCTTGATCTTTTGATACTTCTTAGGATTCTCCTGCAATTATAAGTTTTCTGTCTGTACTTATTATAATTTTCAATGGTGGGAGTATGTCTATACATTATACACATTTCTTTTCTCTTTTTCACAGCTTCCGAGCATTCTTTAGATCACCAGCGGGCCGGTGCCATCTGGGAGTCGAAATTTTTTGTTTTGAGTTGCTTTGGATATAGG